TAATTCCTTTGTTGAGAAACCAGCAGTGTTGGATATTTAATGTCCTTTGTTTGAGAAACCAGCAACACAGGATATTTAATGTCCTTTGTTTGAGAAACCAGCAACACAGGATATTTAATGTCCTTTGTTTGAGAAACCAGCAACACAGGATATTTAATGTCCTTTATTTGAGAAACCAGCAACACAGGATATTTAATTTCCTTTGTTGAGAAATCAGCAGCACTGGATATTTAATGATCTTTGTTAAGAAACCAGTGAAACTGGATATTTAATGTTTTCTTTGAGAAACCAGTCAAACTGGGTATTCAATGCCCTTTATTGAGAGCCAGTCTGGATAATGTAACACTTTTCCTTGTAATAAAGGTTACAATTCTTAAATAAACATCTGTTTTGTTGTGACTAACTTTAATTATGGTCAGTTAGAGAATGGACAACATTATGGACACAGCTGCAATCAATAAGCAAATATTATCAGTCTTATATATGAAAAACACTGTTACATCTTTCAGTTATTATTATTACAAACATAGTAATATTCCCAAGTACTCTTTAATTTATTGGAGAAATATTTATACCCAAAGAAGACAAGAAGAAAGGAATAGTTTTATGAAAGATCATCTGGTAACCTGGAATATCCAGAATTTTAACTTAAAAGTTGGTTGTAAATTGTTTTTTGTTGATTGTGTAAAAAGCCTTATGACTTAATGAATAAAAAATTATAGTGAATTTGATAAGTTGGATTATTTAAAGGTTTTTCTTGTAAAAATATATTTTTATTAGAACAACTGAAGTGACAACTAAGAAAGAATATTTATATGTATTTAAGCCTATTTAGAAACATTATTTGGTGCTCACATATACATTTTCTTTCCTATGTTAGTGATGTTGGTATCTATGATAGAGTGGTTGTTCAAGAGCTCTTGAAAACTGTTGCTCAGACCCAGCAACTGGAAACCAACTCACAGAGAGAATTTAAAGGTAAATGAATCTTTAAAATTGTTCTTTAGTTCCAGTACAGTTTCGATTAGTTAAATAAGTTTGACATCATGAACTTTTGTTTCTACAATAAACTTAAAATATAAGGTAGTAAGATAAAAAAAAAAACTGATGTGGTGGTTGGCAAATTAGAAGTTATGATTTATGACTCAATAACTGGGTAAATTAGAAGTTTGAGATTGTAAATTTAAAATGTTATAGATATTTTATATTGGTTCATGGGATCAGGTTAAGGGTGAGATGCTACTGTGTCAGAAATAATTAGCAGCCACATGATGATTTGTTCTTCACTAGCAACCACATGATGACTGGTTCTTCATTACCAGCCACACAATGATTGGTTTTTCCTTAGCAACAACATGGTGATTGGTTTTTTTTGTTAGCAGCCACATGTTGGTTATTGATTGGTTCTTCTGTGGAGAGCAGTTGCATTGATATCTCTGATAATAAGGACACCAGATTTGTAGTGGTTTAGTTTTTAGGCTTTCCTCTATCTAATTCTTTACACAACACTAATCGATGTTTGTAGGTAATAGATTATATCGATTAATTCAGTTAATCACCCAGCTCTGTAATTAATACATATTTTGGATGGTAGTATTTTCTGTGTTGTGTATTTTAATGTTGTGTATACCAATTGGTCTATTCTGTAGTTGTCATCTTGAATGAAGTCGACAAGTTGACTAAAGATGCTCAACATGCCTTAAGACGAACAATGGAAAAGTATATGTCCACTTGCCGTCTCATTCTGTGCTGTAATTCTTCCAGTAAGGTGATACCGGCCATCAAGAGTCGTTGCCTCGGTGTTAGAGTGCCAGCTCCTACAGTAGAGCAGGTAATGTTATCAACAAATGAAGTAACATTTGGTAGCTCTCTCTTCACCCTTTTAGGAAGATGATTAGAAATGAAAGACTTATTTATTAACTTTTATGATACATTTTTTGGGTTTTAATTAATCAATGTGTTTAAATACTTTTGTCATTATAAAGCAGTTTTATAGATGATAAACCTATTGAGAAAACTTACTCTGCTGAAGATGAGTGTTTGTTTCACAAGAAGTGTTAGCCTCATATCTACATGATTGTGACCCATTTTCATTTCGAACCTCTAGTTTTCAGACAACCAAAAATGAATGAAAATTTGAGTACCTCTAATGTCAGGATGATACATTTCTTTACATACACTATGCTTTTAAGCTAAAGGAATATCAAAAACTGTAATATATTTTTAGACTCCTTGACAAATCTCCTGGGGGTAACAACCCAAAGTTTGAAAACACCTAGACTTTGTCATTGTGATTTCCTAACTCTGCATGAAATTGGTACCATTTTGTCTACTTTTGACATTGAGTTTAAGATGACGTCTTGCTTGTGAAGAGATTCTTTTGGGTATATTTACTGAGCTAGGTTGCTAGTGCGAAGAAGTATGTTAATTACGAAACATACACACCTCTGCTGACACTTATAGCTATTTCTCGATCTTCATCTTTGCCATCTAAACATCGTGTTCGCTTGCTCCAGTCTTCATACTCCGCTCGACTGCCCTCGGTAATATCTAATTTGTAAAACTTTACACCGGTCCTCACATGTGCTTTATGCAGGTACTGTATATAAGCACTGCATGTCGACAATATAATCACTTTTTCTCAACAAAGCGCTAGTGCTAGGAGTTATGTTTTGTGGTTAACATTTTATTTTCAAGCATTTTGATGGTAGTCTGGCATTTATTTTTTCCCATTGCCGCTATTTCGTTGGTTTTCTTTTGCGGTTAGGAAAAACAAAATGCAGATATGAATTCTCGTGTAACAGTTTCTGGCATGGGGGTTAACCAGTCCTCGTCCATTCCTCTTTTGTTGTCTGGTGGCAGTTGGGGGGTCCACTCTTGGTGGAGGCTGTCCGTGACCTGGTTTGGGAGG